TCAGAGGTGGGAGGAAAAGTGTTTCTCACTACTTGCAACGTGAACCTTTTACAAACCCTCTCCCGTGCCTGTTTCTAGTGGCCGGTGCCAAGTGGCACATGTTCCAAACATTAGGGAAAACAGGGCTTCCCTTGGCCGTCCTGTGAAAATTAGTACATTTCTTTGGGAAGTTCACATCGTAAAGGTGAACACGGGAGAATTTTCCAGCTCTACTTTCTCCCCAGAGTTTTAGGAACCAAAAAAAAAAGGTTTCTGTTTGGGTGGTTTCTTCTTTATAATCTTCAGAATGAAGGCCAGGAACCCAGAGATCTGGAGCATGTTTTGAAGTCTCTGTAATTCTCATCCTACATGTTGTAATTTGTGTGAGGAAAGCAGTGCAGGCTTGTAAAGATAAAGATGTATAATTTAGAAGGTTTGCGTAGAGCGACCCCTTATCAAAGGCTTAAAAGGGGACCCTGGGGTCAGGACCTCTGCCACCGAGCACACAGCAAGCCCATTTCTGAACCCTGAGCACACCCCACCCACCTCCCACCACCAGCAGATTTTTATATCCTGTATTTGCCATAGACAAGTAGACAAGTAGAAACCATTAGAGAAACTTAATTTTTTTTAAAAAAAATTTATACATAGGTCCCCATTTTCCCCCCATTGACCTCTTCCAGCCCGCTCTCGTTCCCTCCCCCCAATTGTTCCTTCCCCCCCCCCACCCCCAGGCCTCACCACCCCATTGTCTGTGTCCATGGGTTATGTATATGTGCAGTCACGTTCATTGGTTGATCTCTTCCCACCCACCCTCCCCTGCCTTCCCTCCGAGGTTCAATAGTCTGTTCATGCTTCCATGTCTGTAGGTCTATTTTTGTGCATCGGTTTATTTGGTTCATTAGATTCCACAAGTGAGTGAGGTGATCTTTCTCATCATAGAGAAACGTGTGTTTTAACCCAGTTTCCAGCTTCCTGCAGCTGCCAGGGTAACTGAGGGGCGGGACACAGCTCCGTCATTACGGTGACCTCACCATGGCACCCAGGGCCTCTCCAGCCCTCCCCACTGTGAGCTTGGCCGTGGCGGATCATGTGACCCAAGAGGCATTTCTTGGATTAGGCTGCTCTTCTGAACATCGGGCATGAAATGTGTTGGAGACTTTATTCAACACATTGCTCAGTGAACCCTTTTAACAATAAAGATTTAAGAAAACAAAGAAGGCCCGGCTGGTGTGGCTCAGTGGTTGAGCATCAACCTATGAACCAGGAGGTCGTGGTTGATTCCCAGTCAGGGCACAGGCGAGGTTGTAGGCTCGATCCCCAGCAGGGGGTGTGCAGGAGGCAGCTGATCAATGATTCTTTCTCATCATGGATGTTTTTATCTCTCCTCCCTTCCTCTCTGAAATCAATAAAAATATATCTTTGGGGAAAAAAAGAATAAAACAAAATAATAAATGAACCCTTTCTAGGACCCCGATGTGGAGATGGTGGAAAAGGCTGGGCGGGACTACAGAGCTTTCTAAGCCTGTGTCTGCTCTCTGGGTCGCAAGGTCGGAGGAAGAGGAAGGGGCTGAGAGGGGAGAGACACAGCCTGCAGATGGGTGCACTGTGCGGTGTACGCACTCGCGGGCCAGGTGGCCCTGGAGGCGCTGTCCGCGGCCACAGGAGGCAGCTGCCATCAGCTGTAACGCGGCACGTCAGGGTTCAAGCTGTTTTGCCAGATCTTCCTATTTTCGGATTAAATATTGGCAACTGACTAGAAAAGTTGTAAAACACGGCTGACCAGTCACAGTGCGTTTGTGCCTGTGACCTTTGTAGAGGGAGCTCTGAGGCATCGAGGGAGACAGGCTCTTCCAGGTGCGACGTGCCTCGCAGAGCCCACGTGCCTGCCTGCCCTCCGGTCGCCACGGCAGGGTCTGGCTCACCCTGAGTGACCAGGTCATGACTGCAGACCCGCCAGGAGTCCACCCCTGGGGAAAAAACATGCTTACACCGAAGGCTCAGTGCCTTAGTGTCCTGTTACTCCAGCTCCTCATAAGGCATTTTAATCCTCAGCATAAAAATACTTACCGGCTCACCTCGTTATACTTCTGGTCTGTTCCCCCTTTTTACAAAAGCTTTGGTGGTCCTCGGACGGCACGGATGCACCGTTCACCCCCGTTATACCGGGTGGTTATGCGATTCGCCGTCCCCCGGGAACACCTGCTTCCCGAGGTCTGAGTGTTCACCGCTCTCCCAAAGTCGGTCGCTCTGTATTTTGTACAATATTTTACCATATCAAAGGCTTTCGCATCTATGCCATTGTATGCCCTTGACATAGTCTATAAATAACTCAGGAATTCTACAGAAGTTTCAGTGGAGCCCGTGGGTGTAAGATCAGGAAGTTTTCACTCGAGTCCTATATGGGTGACATGAGGTCCTCTGTCCTGACAAGAGAAGACAGCACCCCATGCCTTCGCTTGTGCTGTGGATGCTCCTTCCTCCCAGCCCATGGATTGCTCAGGGTTCAGAGCCAAAGGCGGTTTCCCCACTCTGAGCCTGCGCTTTGCCATCTATCAAGTTCACATGCGGGCTGGCCTGTCCTCCCTGCACCTGCCGCCCCTCCCCTATGGCTCCTGCTCTCCTCCGGGGGGGCCTCCTCCCTCCTTCCCCGGTTAGGTTAGCTCGGCTGAGGCTCTGGGAAGCTGCTGTGCAGGGCAGTGGGCCCAGGCGACAGAGTGAAGTTTGAGGTCAGCGTTTGGAAGTCAGGCACATCTGGCTTTGATTCCCATCCTGATCTCGGACTTGCTGTGTGACCTTGGGCAAGTTACTCAACCCCTCTGGTCTGCCTCTTCCTCTAAAAAGAGACGCTGATAAAACACTCTTGATGGGTTTGTTACAACGTGTTGGTAAGCAGACACTTATCAAGGGGCTGGTGTGGTGCCTGGCACCGGAGGGTTTGAATGGCTGTGACCTTTCTCCTCGCGTCCCCGGTGTGATTCCAGTCATTCCTCACGTTCCTGTCCCTCCACACTCCTCCTTGGGGTACGGAGACGCCCCGCCTCGCAGCCGGGCAAGGTCTGATCCCTATGGAGTCCGTCTGTTTGTCTCTGAGTCTCAGTGACTCTGGGACCAGTCATTGGGCTGCTTGAGACTCGGCCTCCTGGACTCTTGAGGGGAGACAATACAACTTAACCGCGCTGTTCAGGGCGCTAAATGAGCAAACACACGTAAAGCGCCTAGGCAGCCCCAGGACGGGGCAAATATCCAAGCCGTGAATAAATCCACACCACTGTCCGCAGCTGCAGACGGTTCGGTTCACCTGGTTGTCGACAGAGACGAAGCCTGCGTGATAGAGAGCATCAGAAACTGTAAATATCAGCATTCAGTTGGAGGTTTCCGTTCAGCTGGGGATGTGGCCCTTGATGGCGCTAGAACTTGGGGGTTTTAAATCTGCGGAGCATCTGCCCACACCTGCAACCCTGATGCATGTTCACAGAACAGTCAGTTTCTTGACGCTCAGGCCCCGCTGGTGGGTGTGAAAGCTGGACACGGTGCTGAGGGCCAGCCCTGCCCAGAGCTTCCCCACCGGCTGGGGTCCAGGGGTCCAGGGGTCAGGCCGCTTTCTGAGATCCCACGGGGGCCAGAGGTGGCAGCCCTTGTCCGTGACGCGCATGCAGTAAGGGCTGTGGGCCACATACTGTATAGTCTCTGAGGCGTATGCTTCTGTGTTGTTGTTATTGTTTTAAAGGGCCCTTTAACAATGGAAAAGCCAGTCTTAGAAAACCAGGAAATGGGTCAGACTGGCCCACAGACCAGAGCCTGCGGACTCCAGACCAGGAAGGGCCAGAGAAATAAAGCGTGGCCTTGAAACCAGCAGGACCTAATACCTTCCTTTAAGGCAGTGGTTCTCAACCTGTGGGTCGAGACCCCTTTGGCGGTCGAATGACCCTTTCACAGGGGTCGCCTAAGACCATCCTGCGTATCAGATATTTACATTATCTTCCTGGGTCACAGCCATTCAAACCCTCCGGTGCCAGGCACCACACCAGCCCCTTGATAAGTGTCTGCTCACCACAGTAGCAACATTACAGTTATGAAGTAGCAACGAAAATAATTTTATGGTTGGGTCACAACATGAGGAACTGTATTTAAAGGGCCAGAAGGTTAAGAACCACTGCTTTAAGGAAAAGGGGAACACACCTGCATCGATTTAAAACAGTTTTTTATAAACATCATAATAGAGAAAAAAGTTTCCCTCCACCCTCTTAGGGTCCTTGGCCGGGTCTGAAGGTTAAACGAGCGAAGGAAGATGAGCAGAAGACAAGGGTACACACAGTTGTGACATTTTTTGCCGGGACCTGGGAGACTTCACAAGGGAATGAAAACCCAGAGACGTGAGCAGAGCAGGAAGCTTTTAGACAAGGCAGAGGGGCTGGGCTGTCTGGAGTAAGTGGTGGGAATCGACTAGGAAGATAATGGGGAGAAGCGACTGGGAAGATCCGTGACTGAGTTCCCCCAGGGATAAGCGTGTCCTCCCGCCTCCTGGTCCAAGCAGGGACCCTCCATGTGGGAGTTTTAGGGAAACTCCTGTTTCCAGGAAAATCGGGTGAAAGGGGAGAAGGCCACAGGGACCTTCATGTTTCTGTCATTTTAAAAAATTCCTCCAACTGAAAACATTCAATGTGCGAAGGCGACCTGTTTGAGGGCAGTGTGTCCTGACCCTCACTGTTTCGCTATCACCTTTGCTGCTTTGGAGCAACTGTATTTCCCCGTGAGTTCGTAGCGGGGCCTCGTGTCACCCTTTCCCGTGGGGAACTGACGAGGGGCACTCGGGGGACAGATGGAGCACAGGCTGGGGGATGAGAAACGCAGAGGCAGAGCGTGGGAGGGAAATATTTCATCGTCACACGAGTCCCCGGTGGCCACGTTGCCGCCGTGTGACACGGCGCTCACGCCCCTGCCTCCTGGGCGCGTGTTTCCACACACGCTGTCCGTGGCCATCGTCACACACCTGCCCGGCCTTGGCCTTGTCTCCGCAGGACTACGACCTGAGCCAGCTGCAGCAGCCCGACACCGTGGAGCCGGACGCCACCAAGCCCGTGGGCATCCGGCGGCTGGACGAGAGGCCCATTCACGCCGAGCCCCAGTACCCCGTGCGCTCCGCGGCCCCGCACCCCGGGGACATCGGGGATTTCATCAACGAGGTACGGACGCTCCCTTTCTCTATAAGAGCGTTTGCTTTCTGCTGATGGTTAGTTCCAGGGAGACTACCGATTGCTTGGGATGCAGCGATGTCGTTCACACTTGTTTTTCTGCAGTTTATCTGTGTGGGTAAGCAAATGCGTCTTCAGGAACAGAAAATAGATGGCGGTGCCTTGATCAGCCCCAAAGAGATCGATCAGTTAATATCCTGCCTTGTAAATGCCGTCATCCATAGGGTGTCCCAGAAAAATGTGTGCATGCACTCTGAGTAATTAATTATAAGGGCAGCGCTGACTAACATACATTTCACTTTCACAGTAGGGCTCTGCTGTGACAGCGTGGACATTTTGGGGAACACCCTGTATAGTATCGGTATAGGCTGTTTCCTGAGATTATAAGCAATAGACTTAACAATATTAAAAAGCGGGTTCTCATTTCATCTATGAGCACTGATGAATGTAACAATAGTTCACTTTCATTTTCCCCACTCGGCACCCTTTAAGTCCACAAATGGTGAGAATCCAGTGCCTCCCAATGACCAGAGAGTTGCATCCAATGAGGTCGGTAGGAAGAGCAGCTAAATTAAATACTACGGAAGTGATCTGAATGCTTGTCTGGTTGAGGAGTTTTAAGAGGGCCTGTAAGAGGCAGCTGATTCTCTGTTGAATATCACAGAGACGATTTTCACTGTCGGAATCCTTCCGGCGTTCTTGCAGGTCGTTACTGACCAGGAGTTCTGCGACATTTCTTACTTCCGTCTGGAGTTAGCATGATGTATGCTGCTTCATTCGATCATGTTTGGCCGCCGTCCTCCTTTTGAATTTCTATTATGCTTGTAGGAGCGACACATACTGATACTGACTGTGACTGTGGGGCGGGACTTGGTCTGCAGCCGTATTGTCCCACTCAGTATCTCCAAGGCCAGGGCTGGTCCCAGTGTGTTACAAAGGGGACTACGTTCCAGGTATGTGCTACCTGCAGTCTGGAGCTGATAAGATCATTTCCTGTGCTTCCTGGACATAGTCATATATTACATTTACTACTCGGTCCACCTTAGGTTTTTAGATGCACTTACTGTGTGGGAAAAAAAAGTTTTGAAACACATTTAGAATATGTATCTGTCTTTACACGTTTTTCTTACTGTCCGTTTCTAAAATGCATGCTGCTTTCTGAGCATATGTGTTGGCGCCTGCCAAGAGGTGACAGGTTGATTTGCGGTAGAAGTGACGAGAACGTAGATGGAAGCCACAACCCAGAGAACCAGCAACTCCTCCGTCTACAAAAGTCTGCCCTCGCTTCCCCAGGGGATTGCTCTGCGGGCCTGGTTAGGGGACGTTCAGGAGCCTCCACCCCACTCAGGACTCCTCTCCTCTAGGACTCCTGGCACGAGGCTCCCTCTGCCTCCCTCGGAGCCCCCCTCGGTCCAGGGGGGGATGTGCACATTCCTGGGTCGGGAAGGGACTGGTCTTGGGCCACATGGGTTTGCTGAGGCTCACTCCCCAAATGACTCCTGAAGCGAAGACATTGAATATGATTATAAGATAGAAAATGTGCAAGAGAAAGGGGAACCGAAGAATATCGACCCAGAAGAGGCCTTCCTTTGACCCAGGAAGAAAGTCTAAGGAGGTGATGGTGTCAGGACAGCTCAATAGGGCAGCGGTTCTCAACCTTCCTAATGCCGCGACCCTTTCATACAGCTCCTCATGTCATGGTGGCCCCCAACCATAAAATTATTTTCGTGGCTCCTTCATAACTGTAATGTTGCTACTGTGATGAATCGTCATGTAAATATCTGATATGCTATATGTGTTTTCCGATGGTCTTAGGCGACCCTGTGAAAGGGTCATTCGAACCCCAAAGGGGTCTCGACCCACAGGTTGAGAACGGCTGCAATAGAGGGTCCAGGGATGTGACATTCGGTTCTGTGGGAAAATCAAGAGTATGAAACTGTCAAAAGGCCTAAGTCAGAAATAACATTCCAACACACCAACACACTGCATAGATCCTTCCATCGGGGACGCTCGTCAAGACGTGCTCAGTATCTTCCTGTAGCCAGACAGACAGATAAATCCAGGCCATGGTTTTCAGTAGCTGACGGTAGCTAGGAAGAGCTGGAGCACAAGTTAGAAATACATTTGAGATGTCAACAGTTTTCTTTATCTCCGGGTCTGTTTGATTCAGCATAGCACCCAGTGTCCCAAAGGAAGGATAATACAGTGGTGATCAGAATTGGGGTGTTTATAGATGTGAGGAGTAGGTAAACTCATGAGGACATTCTATAGTTTGTTTGTTTGTTTATATAATGAATGAATGTTGCCTCAATTCTCAAAAACGATAACATTTCCCGTCTGGTAGGAAGAGAAAAACAAATCACACAATTTTTAATTTCAGCGACAGCATTTCATTCCATTTTGAGGTTTTTAAACATGACCTTCAGAGGCTGATAAGTTGAAACACATTTATTTAATCTCAGCCCAACCGCAGGTATTAGCATACCTTCAATAATTCTACTAATCCCGTGTGTTTCTTTATCTCAGGCGTACAAAAACCGGGGACGTCCTTCTGTGAAAAGACCGCCGTTTGATTGTTATCATTTAAAAACGTATGGAAGGTGCTTCTAGAATAACTTGCTTAAAACTATGAAAGTTGAAAACTTGCTTTTGTCCCTCCGGATAAATTTCAATCCGTTCTCTTTAAAATATCTCTGCCCACTCTTACAGGAGTCGGGCGTTCGGGTTCAAACCCAGTTGCCTCACCTAATAGCTCTGTTACCTTGCACAAGGGCAGGATCCTTGGTGTAACTTGTTGACTGCCCAGTCTGCTTCGTAGGAAATGAGGCTAATGATAGAACGTCCTTTTAAGACGGCAGTGAGGCTTACATGAGGTAATCCGTGTAAAAGCGCTCGGTATAGTGCCTGTCCAATAAGAAATTCTCTTCATGATTATCAGCATTATGTCATTATCGTTGCAAATTACCTTTCTACTGTCTTCTACTTATAAACAGAACACATAAAAACCTCTCCTTTTTTAAAAAATCGCTTTAAGTAAAGTGAAATTCCCAGAAAGGGCCTTAGTGCTGCAGGTGTCGCTGTCACAGAATCCCGAGTATTGTGAGCGTGGTGTACCCTTAGGTCCCATGTGCATTTACACCTACGCCCTCGCTGCTGGAAGGAGCGAGTATACATATGCACAAGGCGCTGGGATGAATACGCCAGGACAGCGGCTCGAGTTCCCTCCTGGTGCCTGCTGGACGCCGGGCTCTGGGGCAGGTCCTGGGGTGAATGCAGACAGCCGCTGCGGAGAAGGGGGTGCCATCAAGTACAACTGACACGTGGCAGGAGAAGCTCGGGGGACAAAAGAGACCCCGGGAGTGACTCCCAGTCACGGGGGGACAGGGGTGGGGGTCGGCCATACAGAAGTGACAGGCATTTTAACAGGCTTCAAAGGATGGATGGGTGAATGGGTGGATGGATATTAATGAAAAAATATTTCAAGCAAAGGGACTCACATTTCAGCTGCCAGGAAACGACGAACAAGCCCACAGCATGAGGCACAGAGGCCCAGGGCGTGTGTGGCTGTGAAGGGGGTGGGTGATGAAGTCAGTTGTGGTTGCCGGTGCCGGAGCGGAGCATTCCCGAGGCAGACCAGGTGGTGACCAGTCTGGGGTCCCTGAAGGCCCCTCTAGAGACCTTACCCTCCGGGTCCCCCAGACCTCAGGCCTTTGAGGAAGGACTTCCAGTTTTTCCCATGTCGGCAAACTCTGTTGGTTACTTAAACCTTTTAATCAGTTTTGACTTAATTTTTTGTTAAAGGGAATTATTTTAAGGGCTCATCTTCCATGTCCTCAGGAAAGCCCTCCTCTCTTTGGTACAAACGGCCATAGGCGATGGAGAGCAATCAGAGGGTTGGACCAGGGAGACAGAGTGAGGGACATCCACTAACATCTGAGAGAGAAGCCCGTAGAAGCAGGGACAGTCGGGGAGCAGGAGACCAGTGAGAGAGGCGTGTGCTGTTGCCAGGGAGGAGGTGACAGGAGACAGAGTGAGGGACCCAGCCGACCTCTGTCCTCTGGCCTCCCTCCCGCTGGCTCCTTTGCTGGGAATGTGGGTTTGTGTGGCCCTGTGAAGGCACAGCACAGGGCCAGAAGCCGATAGGTACTCGCTCAGCAAGACCTGGGCCCCAGCCTCAGCTCTTCATCTCACAGAGGCCCCTGGGACCACGGGAAACAGGTAGTTCAGCCCAGCCAGGCTCAGCGGTTGAGCATCCACCTATGAACCAGGTCAGCGTTCGATTCCCGGTCAGGGCACGTGCCCAGGTTGGGGGCTCGATCCTCAGTGTAGGGCATGCAGGAGGCAGCCGACCAATGGGTCTCTCTCATCATTAAGGTTTCTATCCCTCTCTCCCTCTCCCTTCCTCTCTAAAATCAATACACATATATTTAAAAAAATAAGAAATGTGTCTTGATTTGAATAAACAAGTCCAAAAATAATAAAGATGTAAAAAAAAGAAAAAAAAATAATAGAGATGCATTTTTTGGCTACTGCTATCTAAGGCTACAATAGCTCACAACTTTAAAGTGTCGTTGGCCTAGAATAACAAAGCCTTACTCCTTTCTCAAATCACATGGTAACTGTGGGCCCACAGTGGCCCAGGCCCTGGCGTCTCCTGCATCCCAGGAGGCAGAAGGGAAACTGCGGGGCAGGCCATCCTCCTGGCTGAGGAGGAAGGAGAGGAGTCCAGTGGACACGTGTTAGCTGGAACTCTGAAGAGCGCCCCTAGCCCCGGCCGGTGTCGCTCAGTGGTTAGAGTGTCGTCCAGGGCACCGAAGGGTTGTGGGTAGGAAAGGTTGGGGTGCATGCGGAGGCAACAGATTAATGTTTCTCCGTCACATTGATGTTTCTCTCTCTCTCTCCCTCCCCCTTTTTCTCTCTTAAAAAAAAAGAAAAAATCAACGGAAATATATCCTCCAGTGAGAATTTTAAAAATATATAGAATCTGCTGTACACAGCTGTCCACACTCATTGGCCAACACCAGCCCCCTGGCCGAGCCTGCGGTCGGGTGGGGAAGTGACTCTGGCTCCGCTCAGAGGCCTGTGGTCTGTGGCAGGGGCTCCGCCTGCGGGAGGGGCCTCCTGAATCACTGAGGAAAGAAGTCATGAATTTTGAGAAAAATTATAGCTTGTGGTTCCCAGTCTTCACAGAATTACCGTGTAGTTTATTCTATAAATAAGATGGAGAAAATGCCATCTAACCTTATTTTTTATAGGTTGAAGTAGTTTGTTAAAGTCATGTATCCTTAAAAGATAATAATACCTGGTCACAGTGTATCAGTTAATCTCACGCTTCATGCTTTGGTAAGATCACAAATGGCTTAATGGGTGAGTTACCTTATATTATAATCCCATGAGGCCTTGTCTTCATTCTTCCTTTGATAGCCTTCCAAATTCAGGTCAAATACAATGCCACTTCCTCCCTCCTAGTTCTCGGTGCTAGTCTGAGTTTTTTTCTTTTTTCTTTCTTTTTTTTGGTCGGCATCCTGATGACTTGTGCCTGCACTTTCTCCAGTTAACCACCTCCCATTGTATGTCTTGGCTTTGCTGACCTGACTCCCTAGGGGTTCTTTCTTGATAGAGGGACGACATAAGTTAGTTTTTGTCTAATTTTTTAAAATTTATCGTTATTGTGGAAGGTGATACCGATGCCCTTTTTTTCTCCCATTGACTCTAGCTGGCCTCACCCCCCCCACGGG